TATTGTTCGAGACCAGACATCAGATCCATCCTCTATGTCGCAGGATCTCTGGTAGCACCTCTCGCTGTTGGTATGGCCTTCGGGTTCACTGGTCCGGCTATTGATACTATGAGGAACTCCATGGAAGCACCTGATGGTCGTCACATCGATATTGGTTCGAATACGAATCTGCATGTATTCGCCAGCTCTACTGAGTCGGCTTTCTTTAGTGCAGCCGTGACCTTTGGGGCCGTGATAGGTTCTCTCGTTGGGGGTCCAACTACCGAACTTCTAGGACGTAGAATGGCCTTCCTACTAGCGGCCCCTACCAGTGCATGTGGGTATGTAATCGTTGGAGTTGGTAAAGCTCCGTGGCTATTGGTCTTAGGGAGGGCCCTCGAGGGTATCTCTATAGGTATATGCTCATTTAATGGTGCTGTGTACATTCAAGAGATGTCGCCAAGTGATCTGAGAGGTGCCTTTGGATCCTGTACTCAGCTTGTAACAATTGTTGGTATGATCGTCATATACGGTCTTGGGATGGCTCTACGAACACAGGCGAATTCCTTAGATCCGCTAGCAACCCCTACAACATTCTCGAATTGGAGGGTTCTATCCTTCATTTGTGTAATCCCTTCCGGACTACTCTTCATCATCATGCTCTTTGCGAAAGAGACTCCGCGATGGCTGGCAACAAAGGGGAGATTGAATGAGGCTAAGGCAACTCTCGAGCTCATTAGAGGTGTTCCCATCACCGACCAACGCATCGCTGAGGAGGTTAAAGCTCTCGAATTGGCGTCGATGAAAACTGGACAACGAACTGCCTCATTAGTTGAACGGATAAGGGTTTTGTCATCTTGTAAGCGTCAGATGATTATAGCCATCGGTTTGCCGTTCTTGAATCAGTTCACGGGGCTTAGTGCCATAGTCTTCTACCAAACTACGATTTTCATCAGGTCCGGCCTTCAAAATCCAAACCTCATGTCGTTCACAGTACAATTGTCATCCTTAGCTGGGAACATCCTTGCTTTCTTCTTTATCGATAGACTTGGCAGACGACCTTTAGGTATTTCAAGTAGTTTTGGTATGGGACTCGGTCAGTTCCTCATAGCGCTGTATTTTTACCTTGATAGCATCGGTAGAGGGGATGGCCTGGCTTGGCTATCTCT